AAACTGAGTTACCGTTTTCGGAACTTTTTGCCCCGTATATTCGGAACGGCTTGACCTGCCTTTGCCAAAAACTAATCAGCACGTCTCCTTATCAATACGGATCGAATGTTTTTTGAATTATTCAAATCGGTTGATCCGTGTTCCCGAAATCGTCGACGAAAATTTGTATCCGCACATACATACACACACATACATACATACACACACACATACACACACACATACACACACACATACACACACACACACACACACACACACACATACATCCATTTTTTCTAAGGTATGCCAAAATGTTCAGAAACCTCTGAAACGTAAAGATATATAAAAATTTTCATTTTCGATTTTTTTGCGATTACTATAACTTACCCTACGGGAAGTTAATAAAGATTCCAGATATAGATAAACAAACAGTTGGAACTAGATTTTTTCCCAGAAGGGCGTAGTTTTGTATTGTCAGTTGTATTTTATTTGTATTCAATCGATTGCCACATAAATGGACAACACTAAATATAGTTCAAGTACAGAAATAATTGCTTCTCGACCTGAAAGAATCGAATTGTCGATGTTGACACATAACGATAGTGGATCAACATTTTAGCCAAATAATAAATTGGAGTAATTAATTTATATTAATCGATTTATTTCCGCATTAACCAAGCCAATATTAGTACAAGTAAAACCAAAGTTAATGTTGGACGTTTTGGGAACCAGATTTCATTTACCATTATTTACCACGTCTGATGCTTCTTAATATTCTTAGAAAAAACAAGGATTTATATTATAAATATATACAAAACATTATTTATCTCGTACCATTGTCAGATTCTAAGCAAATAAATGCTGTATCAATATTGTGCTAATTATTTGTCACAACGTCCAAGTATTTAATGATTTAATCAACAAGCAAACAAAGAAAACAAATATATAATTAAATTAGCATCAATTTTATACTTCGGGCTAATCTGCAAACACATAACGTATGAATATCTTTGCTGACCTGATTAAAAAAATGAATATTACAAAATTTAAAAAAAAACATTATACGGTAATTTAGCCTAGTGATTCCCAAAAGTGTACTTTTGTTACGTAGTTATAGAATTTATTAAAGCTCTCCTTCGATAATTCAGGTTGTTGGGTTATAATTTAACCCTTGTAACTGTGGACTGTATTAAACACTGATTTGTTTGAAAATTTGATTAGTTTTTTATCTTGTTAATACAAGTAAAATTAGAATGATTCAAATCGGACGCTCCGTTTTCTTAAAAACTGAGTTTCCGTTTTTGGCACTTTCTGCCCCATATCTTCGGAACGACTTGACCTGCTTTTGCCAAGAACTAATCAACACGTCTCCTTATCAATACGAATCGAATGTTTTTTGAATTATTCATATCGCTTCATCCATGTTCCCGAAATCGTCTACGAAAGTTTGTATCCGCACACACACATACACACACGTACATTCATTTTTTCTAAAGGATGCCTAAATGTTCAGAAGGTTTTGAAACGTAAAGATATATAAAAATTTTTATCATCAATTTTTTGCGATTACTATAACTTGTCCTACGGGAAGTTAATTAGGATGTTTTGATATCTCATTTATTTTTATGTTGTGACCTCTAAGATTTTGTTGCAAAATTTTGTCTGGATAAATGCTTTTTTCCTTCTTTACCAGATGTTGCCCAAGATTTTATTGATATTGGTGTTACTAGATTTAATCCACTCCTCATGACATCAGGAAAAGATGATCCTTTTCCTCTTTACTTGATATTATGCCTTCTAAATTATATATATCCTCGTATAAATTCATTGGTTGGATCCCTAAGAATCGTGACCTCGTTTAATTTTACAAAGACTTAATTTAACGAACTGTAATTGAACGATGAATTCGTTCATGTCAGCTCGATGCACGATATTGCAATTGTACTAAGACATAAGACGTCTTCATCATCATTGAATTTTATTATTTTGGATGGAGAACTTAATTTTATATACTTGTATATAGCAACTATACCGAGTTCAATACATTAATTAATAAAACTTTGGGAGAAAGAAACTATCGACAGAGCACTGTTTACAAAGTTCAGGACTTCTTACTCCATTGACCTCATTTTGAACCCAATTCCTATATGATTCTATATATTATTTTATGGAAATTGCAGGGAGAATTATTATTATATCATTTAATAAAATCGTTTTAAAAACAATAACGAAATAATAAAAATTCACATCATTGAGACGTCTGTGTCACTTCATGAATGAATCATACTCATTTGCAGAATTGGTCAGGGCCAACTTGTTTCTCGTCTTAACCTTGGATAAAACAAAACCAAACATAAATTTTAATAATAAGAACAACGAAAAATTATATAATATATATATATATATATATATATATATATATATGTATTATATAATTTGGTTTATATAATTGGGCGTTACATCAACAAATGTTGTATAAATTTTCATAACATTATTTATGGTACAAGGATATCCTCATACTGGATGGAGATTTATTTTATTTTCAGTGTTGTTCAGAATATATGTGTTTAAAGTTATTTATTTATTTTACTTAAATTATTACAGATGAGCTACGCAATTTTAATTACTTAGTTTTATTTTCCAAAAGAGGCTAAAATGTTTGCTGACATATAGAGATCTTATATAAATTTTGGAATTTGATGATCTAATAAAATTTCCTATATTTATAGTACTCGTATATGTTACGTCAATATAAAATTCAAGATTTTGCACATATTTTGTTTCTTTAATGTAAAAATTTATTTACATTACATTTACATTTTTGAAAAAAGCAGCAACGAAATTAGGATGCTGGTCTTTATTGGGATAACAAAAAAAATGTTAAAAAAATTAAACATGATTAGTCTAATTATCTGGAATCATACATGATATATCAACTTTATTTTACATATATTTATGTATATATTTTATTTCAATTATTGTAATTATAGTTTTGTTCACAAGCAAAAAATAACATATGTTTGTGAAAAACCTGAATTAACACACTGGGTAAAAAAGCCTTGAAAATTATTCTTAATTGGAACTAAAGAATTTAATTAACGTCCTACTAGTAGATTAATGATAGAAACTACAATTATTTGATAAAATGATAAATGATAAATTTAAATAAAATATAAATGAAAAATAATGATAAATTGTTTCATTTTACTTATTTTATTAGTCAGCAATGCTGCTAAAAGTATTGCGCCAAAATTAAGTGCAAAAAACTGAACAATTAAATCGAATTTTATATATAACAAAAATTTATATATATTATTCATTATTAATTATTTAACATTCATCTGCAAAGTTCATTATAAGATTATCTACAAGAATTGTATGTTAGCCACCGTACAGTGATAAAATTCTGAATTATTTCCACAGATTCAAGTTATTGTATTTTTCTTATGTTTTATCTAATCTCTATTAAATATTGATAATTTATATTTCTTGAATAGTTATCAGCAATTCGATATTGTTTGAAAAATTAATTATTATTGCAGCTGTTTGGAAACTGGACAATCTAATTTATTGAAGGATCATAAATCTTTATATTATCTTAAGGAAATCTTTATATAAATATATAAATATTAAAAAAAAGAGTGCGCGTAAGGTTCACACGCGATTGAAGTAAAACTTATATGCTACTGTACAAGATGGCATTTAAGTAAAAATAAATACATAATATAACAATTTTGAAGAATGTTTATTAGTAATATGGTAACACTCGTGATGCACACATTTATTAGTGTCAACCATTATACACATTTATATAATGATAAATTATAAATTATAAATTATATATTTATAATAGCATTAAAAATAATTCAGATATGACATGATCGGTTTGTCATTGTAATTAGCATTTAGAAATAAACTTTCAATAAAGAAATGAAGTAATTGCTGATTAATAACTTCTATAATATTTGTTCATACAGTGAATTATGTTAAACAATGCCTAAACAAATATTGTTTTCGCAAATTCACTCATCATCTAATAATTGTGTTTGAAGAACTTCATGTAATTGAAATTAACATATATTCATTGACTGTTTGTATTTTTTTTTACTTTTTCGCTGGCGATATAATATCATTCTTTGAACAGCTGCAATATCTGTATTGCCTAAAAAATATTTTCCTTTTTAATAACTTCAAAGATTTATAGAAACTACGAATAATATAGAAATAATGTCTAATCAATTAATCAATCAACTTAATAGTCATTACTCTTATTAATCAGTATTTTCAAGGAACAGGGTAAAATATTCTTCTGATTCAGACATTTTTTAATAAATCAAGATTTGTACTACGATGTAACCTTAAAATGTTTATTTATCTATGCCGAATTCCTTGTTGATATCGATACGTATACAACGTTGATTCCTGTACGTATACAACGACAGATCTCTATTCACATACGCGACGACCAATCACAATCGACCCCTATAGAAATGATATCATTGAGAGCGAATGGCGAATCATTGGCACTCAACTCTTATCTTATCTGCCGTAACGCACTTCCGTTGCATTTGTACGGTTTTACACCCTAGTCGCGCCTAAAGAAGTTTTACTTCAATAAATAAATATAAATAGATGAAATTATATGTGGGATGAGTATCATTGCCATTGCCAAAACAAAAAGCGTTGATGAATTATTTATCTAAATGGAACTGTGTTAGAAATTTTGAATTCCTCAATGTCTTTTCTTATATGGTAACTGCATATTAAACGATTTGAATGAAAATGTTCATATATTTTCTAATGGTTTTACAATTCTTGCTAATTATTTTATGGATGTAATATACAAAATCAGTGCATTATCATCAAGACCATATCAGATCAGACAAATATCTTTAGCATTTATTTGCTTACGTACATGTAGTCGTTTGAAAACCTAAATAATCTTTGGGATTTCGAATCATTCTCAATTATCAAGTACAATAGTCGCTATCATAATGCGATTGTGATTACCTACACACGTGATGTTCGAGATATCATTTCGAAATTGAGTCAATTACCTATCATTTAGTTGCCAGACAACTGTCATTAATATTGAATGTGTGGGGATTAAGTTAAGTGATCCAAGGATTGAGGATTAGGGACATCCAGCTAGCTACAGGTAAGGGAAATAGAATTATTCTTAAGGAAGTCCTTGGTATAAGAAATATTGGGACCAAATTAAGTGATCCATCGATTGAAGATTAGATACTATTATTAGGAAAGTCCTTGGTATAAGAATTATAGGGTCTAAGTTAAGTGATCCAAGGATCAAGGATTAGAAACATCAAACTTGGTACAGGTGAGAGAAATAGATCTATTCTTAGGAAAGTCCTTGGTGTAAGAAATATTGGGACTAAGTTAAGTGATTCAAGGATCGAGGATTGCTAGATAGCTACAGGTGAGAGAAATAGAACTATTTTTAGGATAGTCTTTGGTATAAGAAATATTGGGACTGAGATAAGTGATCCAAGGATCGAGGATTGCTAGATAGCTACAGGTGAGAGAAATAAAACTATTTTCAGGAAAGTCCTTGGTATAAGAAATATGGAGACTAAGTTGAGTGATTCAAATAATGAGGATTAGGAACATCCAACTAGCTGCAGGTGAGAGAAATAGAACTATTTTTAGGAAAGCCCTTAGTGTAAGAAATATAGGGACTGAGTTATGTGATCCAAGGATAGAGGAGTAGAAACATCCAGCTAGCTACAGGTAAGGAAAATAGAATTATTCTTAGGGAAGTCCTTGGTATAAGAAATATTGGGACTAAGTTAAGTGATCCAAGGATTGAGGATTAGAAACATCCAACTAGATACAGGTAAGAAAACTAGAACTATTCTTAGGAAAGACCTCGGTGGATTAACCATGCAGCCCTAATGGATTTTAAATTGACGATTGAGAAGGTTTAAGAGGAGGATCCAGGGACTAAACTATATTAAATATAGTTCATATTATTTATAAATAACAATTTTTATCATGAGCTCGATGTTCTTTATGATAAATTTGGACATGCGACTTGTTCATTATTTATAGAATATTATTAACTTCAGTGAAAAAAATACCTAATATATTAAGTAACAATATGTAAACTAAATTGAAAAAAAAGTCATATCAGTGCACGATATTTAAATTATTTGAAAGGGTTATTCAAATATTTCAAGTGTTATAAATACAATTTGGCTTACGATAAGTTTATTATTAAACATATTGAAATTCAAAATTTTATAGAATAATCTAATTGATTTTAATCTAATTTCTGGGTTGGCAACTGTATTGAACAGATATGCAAAAAAGTCAATAAAATCAGTACATTTACGATATTGATACTGTTTGAATGAAGTAAATATTTGCGATAAAAATGATTTAAAATTATTTTATTTGAGTTAAATCATGTGTTTAATTGCATCTTATCAAAAGGAATTTTTAACGTATTTGTCATGCTTAATTATTTCCAGAATTTAAGTTTTAACAAAATTAATAGATAATTAAATTATTAATCTGCTAACTAATATATGATTAATAAACTTATTACTAATAAATATCTGTTAACAAATCTTAACTAAATATTCTGTATGCTTCTATTATATAATTTTTATAATTTTTTTTTTAAGTGTACTACGATGAAGCTAGGTTTTGCAAATTTTATATAATTAAGATCCTATTTCGACAATAACATCACCCGGAATTTTGCTCAACACCTTATTATTACTTATTGTATTGCAAAAACAGCATTTTATTAAACAAATCTTATCACCTAGCACATGCTGAAAGATATTCCAATGTTATTAAAATATCAATGCAACTCGTGATGAAACTAAGTACAATTCAAATCCTCTACAATTTGATTAAAATGGTATTCAAAATAATCAGTTCTGCAAAACAACAGAAATAAAATAATGTAATGAAAATAGTGTATAGGTAATATATATTATATATAGTGTATTGGTAACCTCAACGTTTTATTAGGTATTAAAATCTGGAGGGTGTCGTATTATTGTATTTTAGAAAATAGTCATAATTTTTAACATATGACTTTGGAAATAACGTTGAAACTTCCCAAAAAAAAACACAAAATTTGGTCGCGAAGGTGCCGGATTATTGGAAGGTGTCGGTCTATCGAAATTTCGGATTAGTGAGAAAGAGTCGGCTGTATATATATATATATATATATATATATACATAAAGTAATATTTATAAATCTAACCTTTTCCAGAAGTGAGGTCCACACCAGCCTCATCATGGGGGCAATGTTTCGCAGTGAGGAGATGGCGCTCTGCCAGATGTTCATCCAGCCCGAAGCCGCCTATTCAACTGTCTCCGAATTGGGAGAAGCTGGAACGGTTCAATTCAGAGATGTAAATAAAATAATCACTAATATAATAACTCATTGATAAAAAAATAGTGCCATTTATTAGCTATCACTACTATTAATTCACTTCTATAAGCTCCATACGATCAACAACGGAACTGGTTACCACTCGTTGGTAACCTTCTTCCCTTATATAATTATCCACCAAAATTGTTGAATGTTGTTTCCTCTTTATAACGACAGATTTTAATTTATAAAAGCAAATAAATTAGTATCTATCAATTTTTGTGAAAAAATTATTTCAGTTATTTAACAAATTATGCTAAAATCTACTGATTAGACTTTTGTGTCCAACACCACTGAAAATGAGATATCTCTCACTCAGTTACCAGAACATTTGTGTGTTTCTTTGGACAATACCAGTAACTATATAAATGCATTTTGTGAGTCAATACGTGATAGAATTTGAATACAACAAACAAAAAATTCAGCAAGTCCAAAACATTCCATAAACACAACTTACATTAGCAGGGACAAAAACATGCAAATTTTTGAAAGAAATTTAACTGGCATTGTCTCTTATGTAAGACACAGTAGTTCCATATAAAAATCTGTAAATCACTACATTTATAATTACATTATCATTAAAGAATAAGTTTGTGGTATTTCGGAAAATAAATATTCAATAATAAGATTTTTACAGTGATATTGACCAGTGATTTTGTTAGTATCGTAAATTATTATGGTTGAAGATTGTGATCACGATTCGGGCGTATTATCAAGAACGTAGTGAATAATATTAATCTTTGCAAATTCAAATATGTATGTTGATAAATAGACCACAATATCTAAATTTCAAAAAAACATAGCTACTGAGTGAGCTATTCCTGTCACTTTTTACAAAAATAGCAACTAATTTCCGCAAATAATTTTTGAGTTTTTTTTTATATAAAACAATACAATATAACTATTTTTCTTTACTGTGAAAAATAAAATTAATTTATACAGTGTTAAACTTGGCAAAAAAGTAGGAAAATACATACTCGGTAGTATGTGGAGTTAGTAATCTTTTTAATTGATCGCGCTTACGCAAATAATTCGTAAAAGTACCCACAAATTTCCGTAAATACTTTTATAGTATCCAAACATGAAACAATACAATATTTCTATTTTTCAGTTGAATTCCGAAGTGAATTCCTTCCAGCGAAAATTTGTGAACGAGGTGCGACGCTGCGATGAAATGGAAAGGAAACTCCGCTACGTCGAAGCCGAAATCAATAAAGACGACGTGGCCATACCTCCCCTAAGCGAGTTGCCAGTTGCACCTAATCCGAGGGAAATTATTGACCTCGAGGTAACTAATAAATTTTTCAATCGAAATATTTCATGATCACGAATGCCGACATTGTAAAGGAAATCCCTCGTGGTTAGTATTTAGAGCTACGGGATTTTAGAATCAGAAAGTTTTGATGTCAAGCAGTAGTGACATCAATTATAATTTAAACTAATAGATAGTAATATGTTTCCAAGTGCAATTAGCTTTTGCCAGGCACTGCTGAATCAATAAAATAATTTAATTTTTTTTTTTTGTTATTTTTAAACAGCAATCAGAACTTAATAGTCCTATAAGTTGTTATGCTGATGTTGACTTAATACTAGTCTTTTCGACAGATGGCAACCCAAACACATCTGTGTACGTAATTAGAAAATTTATTAAAACTCTCCTTCGATAATTCAGGTTGTTGGGTTATAATTTAACCCTTGTAGCTGTGGACTGTATTAAACTCTGATTTGTTTGTGTATTATGTATTTGTTGCAGTTCTAATTACAAGCCTTGTTACTAAGTTATAATGAAAGAAGATATATTTATTGGTTATTTATTATACATGTTGTTACGCGGACTTTACTTTTAGAAGTAAACAACTAGTTTAATTAAAATACTCCTCTACCCCCTCTACCAGGGGTAGCAACCATTCTGTGTAAAGCTAAATGCCCTGAAAGTTGTCACCTTCATGGCCAATATAATAAAACGAAAGTACGTCCGAACACCATCTCTGTATAATATATTATTATTACAATTTCTGTAATAGGGCAAATATCTCACTAATAAAAAAATTGTAAAAATAATCATCAAAAAAATTAGGACAAATATTTGGGTGTCATCTATAAAAACCAATGTAGTTAGTTAAGTCAAAGCATCTAAACAGCTTATAGGATTGAATTTGGATATTTATTTTGTAAAATATAATTTTATAAAATTGGAAACACATCAAAGTCTAAATTTATTTATGAACAGAAAGTAGTTTACAGATTGGCTGGAATTTTTTAATGAAAATTCATTAGATAGGAAATTTATCGATCTTCTTTTCCAGATACCTAGTAAATATTTTAACCGAAAAATTTAATCATCATGAATATAGATAATATGGAAGGCATTAAAAAAATATCGTATATTTCTTAAAGAAATTCCTGGGTAATTTATTTACCCAAATTATATAGTTTGAATCGATGTCTGAATGAGAAAATTGGGGACGTATCAAAGTCAGTATTCAATTATGAATACAAAGTATTTTGATAGGTATTTATTTACTAAAATTTCTTTGATAAGGAAATTATTGATCTCGAAGTAAATGTTTCAATCAATAAATGAATTTTGTCATAAAAATATCTCTTGTTTTGTGAAGAAACTGCTGGGTAATTTATTTGCTCCAATTATATAATTTGAAACGATTGAATCCAGTACCAATACAAAGTATTTGAAAAGTGAAAATTTTTACATAGGCCATGGTAACTTTATTAGATAGTTTAGTTAAAAATATATCAAGAAAACTCAATGTATCAAAAAAATTACAAAATTTCTGGAAAAACACTATTTTTCATAGCATACATATGTGACTGACATGGCCCTATATAAAGCTTTTTTTTCTCCTTCCAATTCTTTACTCTCAAATATTGTCAATTTAGCTTATAGGAATCCTTATGTATTTCTGATTGCTAAATAAAACAGAGTAAAAATCGTATCTGTCTGACATGACACTCCTTAACGTGAGACATGGCAACTAACGTGTTATAATTTTAAATATTGATGAAAAATATAAATATTTTATTTTTTTACAGGCCAGACTGGAGAAGACTGAAAATGAGATTATGGAACTCTCACAAAACGCTGTGAACCTAAAGTCAAATTTTCTGGAGTTAACGGAATTGCTTAATATTTTAGAAAAAACTGAGGTAATAATTTGTATTTATAATTGTAAATATTTGTTTTACCCATGTGTCCATAAAAGTCCATTACTACGACAAAGTTTCACGCCATGCGAAAATAAACACGTCTATTATGCTTTCTCATCATTGCATTAAATCTATTTTCAGAACATTACTACTCGGATATTCTATTTGTACTAATTTAAAATGGTTTAGTATTTATTTACGTATACAAAAAACAACAAAAACCCTTTTGCCGGTAATAAAATGTAACATAGAACGAGGAAATAAATTTCTTGTGCATTTTCAAAGTAGTCATGTAGACCTGAACTTCCTGGTTTAGCATAAATCATTATAATGATAATAATAATAATGTAAGTAATGGTACAACTGCCTAATTAGAAGTCCCAAAATATCTATACACCAATAATTTAAAAATACAATATAAATTTAAATATACAAATAAATACAATTTTTTTGCATAATAAGGCATCTTGCAACAATTCCTGATTAGCAATATTCAAATTATTATCGATTCAAAATAAAACAAGGATTCGCAAATAATTGGTATAAAAATTATCTATGTATTATTACTTACGCATTATTTTTATATAACGAGTACTTTACAACTGCCCAATTATAATCATGATTATGAATATAAATTAATTAAAAAGTCAATTTTCAAATGTATGTTTATACCTGACCAAGGCAGCAATTCTTTGATGTTTTCCCTACTATGTATTTTCAATAACTGCTGAACACAAACTAAATACTAGCTTATCAATTTAGATTGATTATGTCACTAGGTGACTTGCTTTATTTATTGACAAACTACTTTATCATTAAAAATATATTATATATACAGAAACGATAATTGTTTAGGTTGCCATCTGTAGAACCAATTAGTATTAAGCCAACTTTTTAAAGGATTCTTAAGTTCTGTTTGGTGTACAAGCATAATGAAATACATAAATTGTTAAAATAAAAAAAAATGTTATCAGAAACACATATTATATCAATTAAACTTCTAATTCCGAAATAAAAAAACCTGCTCTTTTAGATCACGAAAAAAAAACCCGATCGTTAATTGGGTACTACCCACTTAATAGGGTATACACACTTATATTTAGATAATTCCGTAATATTTTTGAATGATCTGAATAAAACTGTATCAAACTGCATTAACATTATTTCAATTCTCCAGTTTTGTCTCGAAAAAAATTACAAGTTCTTGATTTAACCCCTGTCCCATAAACAACCGGTACGCATGATTTGGTTTTAACCTGAAATGTAGCTGAGCTCGAGGTTAGTGCACAATGCATGGTACCGGTTAGATATGGGTTAATTAATACCGGTTAAATTTAAAGCGCCTTGATATGAAAAAATCATAATTTTTCATCACGTTCAGTATAATTTTAGAGTTGTAGGATGTATACAGTGAAATCTGAAGATTATCTATGTTTTTACCGTCTTCTCAGCAATTTTTCGCCGAACAAGAAGCTGCAGTTACCCCAGATATGATGCCTGCAAACGCCGTCCACGATGATGGAACCCAACAGGCCGTCAACCGGGCCGACTTGGGTTCGTGGCAGGTGTGATTCAAAGGGCCAGGGTTCCAGCTTTCGAGAGAATGCTTTGGCGTATTTCTCGAGGAAACGTATTTTTGAGAAGGGCGGAATTGGATAAACCTTTAGAGGACCCCACTACGGTAAGAGCAGGAATAAAAACTAGTGCGGCGCATGGCGTCGTGCCTTAAGGCAAATTGCTAGAACTTTCCGTACCAAAAAAATTTTTTTAATAATTTTTTGGGGAAAAGTGGTAATTAGTTTTTTTGCGAAGACGGGTCCAGTCGTCGTAAAAATAGCAGTTTTTGAGAAAAATAAGCAACCACAATAATTTAGATATTCAAATTTTTAATTCGATCTGGGAAGTTCCAGCAATTTGTCTCAAGGCACGATTAATAGAAAAATGTGCATAAAATAATAGAAATAATTTAAGCTGATTCGGATCTGATCTGTTTTGATTCAACAATTGTTATGGTTGTATTGGTCGGATAAAAAGAAATACAGGTAGAGGTATATTACTTTGCTTCAGAATATATTGACGCAAGCGGTCATTCAAACAAAAATCGATTGTCCGTTTTCAAATATGAACAGTAGGTGCCGGCTGCAAAAATATAATTGATAGGCATTTATAACGATATAGTAACTTTAAATAATTTGAAAATTTTAAGACTTTCACGTAACGGGTGGTCCATCAAGTGGCCCTAGTGATCTAGTGATCTTAATGTTTAGATATTTCTGTAAAGGAAACATATAAAGCGTTATACATCGTTAGAAAGATCTCAAAATTCTTAGTTTTTGTCCCATATATCGCAACTTCGAATTCCGCACTGTGTGGCCTACAGGCAAGTTGCTATCGATAAATTCCAATTTTTAAATGGCCCACCCTATATTATAAGATTTAAATGCAACTACTGCAGGGTATATATTCAATGTAATATCGCGCTATTTTTATTTTTCTAGGGCAATGAAATATACAAAACTGTCTTTGTTGCATTTTTCCAAGGAGAAGAATTAAAAACTCGTCTGAAAAAAGTGTGCACTGGTTTCCATGCATCTTTGTATCCTTGCCCGAGTGTCCCAGCCGAACGCGAGGATATGCTCATGGGTGTAAAAACTAGACTTGCTGATTTGAAAATGGTAAAATAATTAAAATAATACTTATAATTCAGAAGATGATATTTAATAGTCGGTTTGTTTTCCTAGGCCTAAATAAAATGACTTGTTTATCCATTTATTCCTTTATCTAGGTCCTAAATCAGACTCACGACCATCGTCATCGCGTTTTAGTGAGCGTCGCAAAAGAATTAATGAACTGGAAGATTATGGTGCGCAAGATGAAAGCAATTATCACACGATGAATTTGTTCAACATGGATGTGACTCAGAAATGTTTAATAGGCGAATGCTGGGTGCCCGTTAATGATCTAGAACTCGTGCAAAAAGCTTTGACAGACGGCTCAGTAAATACCATACCATACCATTGCTGTTTTTCTTTCAAGTTGAAGTAGTCCTAAGTTTTTATGA